ACTATCCACTGGTTCTTACATAGCAAGAAGAACAGCGTGGCAAGGGAATAGGGGTTGTGCAAAATTGCAAAAGAGACCATGGTGGACAGCCTGTGGATTCGCGCTACGTATACAGCATGAATGAGATGAGCTTTTACACTGCACACAAAGCGGTTCAGCCGATGGTGTAAGCAAATAGCCTCTATACTGAGGCCAAGCACAGCTGAAGGAAAGTTGTCTGCGGTGGACGGAAGTGCAAGAATGCAGATCTACCGACTTCGGCAGGTCCTTGATTCGCAGTCTGTTTATCCTATGTCTTTGCCATTTTGTTGAAACAGCTCAGCTTTTGGCTACCCGCACACTAAAATCCCACAGCTCTATCGCTTTCTGACTTCTACTAGCCTACTTTGAAGTACTAGAAACAAATGAACACCTATATGTAGATTGAAAGGTGAAGACATCTACCCGTATTAGGAATGTAACAAACATTCGAATACCGTATTTCCCGAATGTAAGTTGCACCTTTTTACACTGAACTTCAAGGGCAAAGAAGACTTACAATGGAGTGTGACTTTTTACTTATGTGAATGTATCGAAACAATTTGGCTCAGATCTGAAAAATGGGTTGCGACTTATAATAGAGGAAATACAGTATTCAATTATTCGAATTAATTCAATCTAAAAAGTGCTCCCAACATTACTTGAATAGAAAATTCAAATTTGAAAGTTTGAAGATCACTGCATCTGTGGCATGATCGTGCTAAGATATACTCAAACGGCAAACATGACACTTCAATCTACATGTTAGGGTTATATCACTAGACAAGGACGGAATGGCGCGGCATTGTTGCCACAGCAACCCGAATGGGTTAACGAATCGATGAGGATGACATCACTAATAATTAATTGAAACAGCATTGACAGTCATGGCCAGTGCAACTCCAGCTTACCTGGGAGATGGTACCCTCTCCAGCAGCATGGCGACCTCACAGTGCGGTGTGTGCGGAAACATGTTCACAGTGACTGCGTTGAGTGGCCTGAAGCCCATTGTATTGATTGCCCTGCTGGGATGTTTGCATAGGCTGTGTACATGGACAAACATTGTATTGATTGCCCTGTTGGGATGTTTGCATAGGCTGTGTTCATGAACAAACATTGTATTGATTGCCCTGTTGGGATGTTTGCATAGGCTGTGTTCATGGACAAACATTGTATTGATTGCCCTGTTGGGATGTTTGCATAGGCTGTGTACAAGGACAAACATTGTATTGATTGCCCTGTTGGGATGTTTGCATAGGCTGTGTACATGGACAACCCTTGTATTGATTGCCCTGTTGGGATGTTTGCATAGGCTGTGTACATAGACAAACATTGTATTGATTGCCCTGTTGGGATGTTTGCATAGGCTGTGTACATGGACAAACATTGTATTGATTGCCCTGTTGGGATGTTTGCATAGGCTGTGTACATGGACAAACATTGTATTGATTGCCCTGTTGGGATGTTTGCATAGGCTGTGTACATAGACAAACATTGTATTGATTGCACTGTTGGGATGTTTGCATAGGCTGTGTACATGAACAAACATTGTATTGATTGCCCTGTTGGGATGTTTGCATAGGCTGTGTACATTGACAAACATTGTATTGATTGCACTGTTGGGATGTTTGCATAGGCTGTGTACATGGATAAACATTGTATTGATTGCCCTGTTGGGATGTTTGCATAGGCTGTGTACATGGACAAACATTGTATTGATTGCACTGTTGGGATGTTTGCATAGGCTGTGTACATGGATAAACATTGTATTGATTGCCCTGTTGGGATGTTTGCATAGGCTGTGTACATGGACAAACATTGTATTGATTGCACTGTCTGGATGTTTGCATAGGCTGTGTACATGGATAAACATTGTATTGATTGCCCTGTTGGGATGTTTGCATAGGCTGTGTACATGGACAAACATTGTATTGATTGCACTGTCTGGATGTTTGCATAGGCTGTGTACATGGACAAACATTGTATTGATTGCCCTGTTGGGATGTTTGCATAGGCTGTGTACATGGACAAACATTGTATTGATTGCACTGTCTGGATGTTTGCATAGGCTGTGTACATGGACAAACATTGTATTGATTGCCCTGTTGGGATGTTTGCATAGGCTGTGTACATGGACAAACATTGTATTGATTGCACTGTCTGGATGTTTGCATAGGCTGTGTACATGGATAAACATTGTATTGATTGCCCTGTTGGGATGTTTGCATAGGCTGTGTACATGGACAAACATTGTATTGATTGCACTGTCTGGATGTTTGCATAGGCTGTGTACATGGACAAACATTGTATTGATTGCACTGTTGGGATGTTTGCATAGGCTGTGTACATGGACAAACATTGTATTGATTGCCCTGTTGGGATGTTTGCATAGGCTGTGTACATGGATAAACATTGTATTGATTGCCCTGTTGGGATGTTTGCATAGGCTGTGTACATGGATAAACATTGTATTGATTGCACTCTTGGGATGTTTGCATAGGCTGTGTACATGGATAAACATTGTATTGATTGCACTGTTGGGATGTTTGCATAGGCTGTGTACATGGATAAACAGAACAAGCAACGTATTATACACTGCACTTTGAAGTCAACACATATTCGCATATTCGCAGCATATTTATATTTATTTACAAGAGAGAGATTGGAAGCTTTGTTACAACTCTGAGTTTCACGTATTACTCCGATCATCAGGCAAGTTTCTTGTGTACAAGGCTCTGCCTTACATGGGTATTGAGCATTGAGCACTCTTCGGACAGTGAAGCAAAACGACTTGACTGCAGATTTATTTATTTATTTATTTTCGGCTATTTTCGGCCTAGGCATTTGCTGGAAGCAAAGTGCTGACCAACTTGACTTCCAGCACACATCAGAAGATGCTTGCATGGTGCAAAGCAAGTACAGTAAGCATGCAACACCGCAAAGGTACTTTCAGAACTATGGACCGCTGAAGACAGTCACGCCACCCGAGCAGTGAGGCTGATCGGCCTATAGTGCCCCATACGGTACAAGTCATGCAGGCCTCCGCTAATAGACCTTATGCACGTTGTGCAGATGTACAGAGTTCTGTACTGCGACCGTAGGTGTGTACAGACCCAGTTCGGTGTTCATCGTGTGCTATGCGCATGCGCATTTGACCAATTTTAGCCTCATAATGAATGGCAAACAATCGCTTTTCCAGCTTCTTCATTTTGGTTAGAACTAATGACTAGCTAGATCTTTGTCAGAATTTTTCTTATGAAATGCCTTCAGGGCTCATTTCTTAGTGGAAATAGCAGTAAACACAATAGGGTCATGCAAATTCAACACCCAACCGGGTCTACGGGATTCTACGAGATTGTACGGGATTTCGTGCATCTGTACAACGCTACGTGCATATGGCTTATAAGACTCTTCATGTACGTTCAGGTGTCGAAAAGTTCAAACTGCAAAATACACTACAAACCACCACTGCGTTGACTGTGCGAACACTCCACACCAATACCAAGACTACATAAACCCAAAGACAGCAAGAGTGTGCAACTCCAGCTATGGGGTATGCAAGGGCAGAACTGCACATCACGTGATGAACCCGTACACATGCTTTGCACCCCGTGTATGACAGATACAGTTTTGGGTTCAACTCTCTTGTGGTCACTTTGCACTGTTTGCCAGCGTAACCGTTTGAAGCATGTTTATAATATGCGATGTGAAGTTCTGCTGTGGCTGTATTGTATATAGGTTGTGCAGGCAGTTGCACACTCTTGGCGGGTATGTACTCTTGCCAATATCAATATCATTGTCAACATCAGCATGATCAAGAACTTTATACAATATAAGTTGTCCTTAAATTGCTTGAGGTTGCAGGCGACGAAGACAAGACGTTTCAGGGCAGAGGTCTTGCGCATGAGCTGGCACACATCCGGATCTAGATACGTCTGGTTGTGTGCATGTGAACACAAACATACCTGCACACGTATACACACACATGCACACACACATGCATGTACACACACACGCACACACCTAGACACACACGTGCACACACAGACAAACAAATTAGGATCTGCCTGATATGTCAAAGAATCGTATTGAGTACTCGAGCACTCGTCCGTGAGCTAGGGTTATTGTTAGCGATTGTGCTCGATAAGAGATCGCTAGTGTTATGCGTGTACGCACGATCATTGCATGCCTGGAAAGTGCGTAAGTGCAGACTACTGACACTATTGATACTGTTACTGTGTATCACTAGTATTACACACACTTACTGCCTTAGTAAACAACGGTAACGCTAGTTTTTTACCGTACTCGTACCTTGATCATCCAAATAGCGTCGAAGCTGCAGCGTAAAAACGTTATGGGGGCTGATTTATCGTTGTGACCTACGGTACGTGTTTTGGCCAAATATTGCATAGTCCGTACGCATTTCACCTTGTACCGCGTATAGGGTGACAAAAATGGTTGTACTGCACGAAATAAAAGCTATTCTCGTGGTAACAGCGTACTAAACAAAATAGAGTAAATCTTGCTAAAGGTCGAACCCAAATCACGGTATTAATATTTTCCCCCTTACGGTAATACTGTTACAACATAACGTTTTTTGCTAAGGGTGTCTATTGAGTGCAATTTGCGACGAGTCAACAAGTGCCCCGTGCCTGTAGTGACTAGCGTGCAACAGTTGCTTTTTGATTGTTTGTCCTGCAGTTGCTTGCAGTGCAAACTGTCATTCCGTCAGTTGAACTTCAATACTGCAGTCTTCCTACCATACCAAGAGTGCAGTAATCTATCTACGATACTGCTCGTGTTCACACTTATAAATTGTATTTGTATTCACGGATTCTCCACAGTCCTTTATAGCCTAAATCGAAGGAGTCTCCGTAGATGAAGTTAAAGAGTACAATGCAATTGAAATGTGACACTTTCAAAATTAATGAAACACTTACGCAAGCCAGCTCGTGGTGGTCTGGTGGATCAACAGCGACGACAAAATTCTGCTTTGCCACAGATAAACTCAGCATTGGTGATGCCTGCCAGCATGCACAAAAACATCATGTACACACACCTACTCACACGCACACACACACACATACACACATACACACACACACAGACAGACACACACACATGCACACACACATGCACACACGCATGCACTCACACGCATGCACACACACGAGGTGCACCGGGTCCACACGTGCAGCACAAGATGGCAATAAATGCATCCACACGTCAGCGTGAACATAGACAACAAACACACTACCCCCCCCCCCCCTCCCCCCCCCCCCCTGTTGAAAAGCGCTGCAGACCACAGAGGTCTAGAAAAAGCCCATACACATAGCCAGGATGGTAGACTTGAACATATCCAGGATAGGGGAGACTTCTGCGGGATATAATATTATTATAAATATGTCTTTATTATGAGCTACAGCTGTGGAGCTTGCCCAGTGGACCAGGTGGACAGACATCAAGAGCACAATACCATGTGCACGGGAGCAAATACACATGAGATCCTATGACAGCATATGGTAACACAAGTGTCTGTGAAATCGATTACCAGGTCATTGTGGACTTGTTCAGTGCAGTGGGGAAAGTGTGAAATTTCAGTGCATGGTCAGGTAAGGTCCATAGGAGCTTACCCAAGACAATAGAGTCCTCGTTGACATCGCACCAGTCACAGATTAATGTGTACAGACGTTCAGTGGCAAGGGTGTTTACTGTGCAAACACACAAATAGACACAGACACACACATGCACATGCACATGCACACACACAGACACACACACTTGTACTTGTACTTGTTGCTCACTGCCAAAACTGGTCACGTGGGTCTCCCCGGGAGAGGGGAGAGAGACTCAAAAGGAATCTTGGAAAGATGACTCAGTTGGCTATTGAACCGCCCAACGGCCGACACCCCCTGGAATCCCCAAAACTCTGGGTGGACTTGAAAATGATCCCACTTATGGGCTCACCACACCTCAGTAAGTGGGTGAGGACAAGGTGCAGAAAAAGGATTGACGGCATCAGGGTATCCGTCCTGGGATCCAACTGCAGAACCCCTGCCCCCAGTGAAGGTAATACTTGCTACTAGTGTGGGTGGCTAAATCAGAGTGGATCTGATATAAGCTTCACTAGCACCATTGATTCCACAAGAGTTAATCTAGCCAGAAGCAGTTCATAGTTAACAGGTATGTATACTTCAAATAGAAAGTATATGAACCCTGGAACCAACAAAGGTGGCAGGTACAACATTACACCTTAAAGCAGCCGAGCCCGTTGGCAACAGACCCTACACTATCAGGCATACGTGTACCCACCAACACACACACACACACAGACACACACAGACAGACACACACACAAACACACAGACACACACAGACACACACAAACACACACATGCGCATGCACACACACACACACAGACACACACACACACACACACACACACACACACAGACAGACACACACACGGACAGACACACATAGATACACACACAGACACACACAGACACACAGAAAGACACACACCGAGGTACAAAAAGACAGTATAAGAAGAGAATTGTGTACTCCCATTGCAACTTGCCGTGGAAACTAATGGACCGTATGCGTGTTAAAACAAAATGGCGTCACGATTTATTGAAAGTGGTATAGTTGGTGGAACGAGTGTTCAAACCCATTTGAACTTCATACTGTTCGTCCTCTTTTTGACATGCTCTCTTTCCATCGTCCTTAGCTTTTGTTTGTTGAGAGCTGTTGTGGCTTTCTCCTTTACCTCTGGGGGATGCCTAGTGATGGATTTGAGAGGCTGGTGATGGCTGTGAGCGAGAGTTTGCCGATCGGCGTCGTCCTCGCTATAGCGATGAAAATACTAGTTACTGCGCACCTGGCAGATATCACAACACGTCGGAGCGTCCAGGAGCAAAGGAATCTTGGGTTTTCACTGGAATCTAGTTCCTCCAGCATCGTGTAGCCCACCGTCGGTGAATGGCGGTCCAGAAAAGTCGAAACTGGTCTTCTGCAGCATCTCGCAGTCCTGCGAGGCACACTGAATACGCCTGTCATGTATTCTACAAATAAAAATCACGAAGTAGTGGACTTTACAGTGATGAGTCTATCCTGTATGCTGCAAAAGACGCAGGAAATGTGACTGGTGTCCGTACACTGGACGCCAATATCATCCCAGTCTTCTCCTGCAGGATCTGTTTGACATTGACATACCGGTATGCAGTGGGTCGACATTGGCCTGGTTTGGCAGCTATCTGCCTGGGTGGATGTAGCAGGTTTGCATTGGCGCGTCGTCCAGTCCGACATTTTCTTGTAACTGTGGAGTACCGCCGGGCAGGGTTTGAGAGGTTGCTCGTGCTGTGAACACGTCTCTACTGCCTGTCTTGTCCTGGAAGTGCCGTCTCGCCGCTTCCTTGCTCTACAGTCACGCCGTTATTTCGCTTTGTTTCGTGGTGCAGCTCAAAACCTGCCCAAACAACTGTGAGCTCGCAACATGGTATGGACAAATTGCACCACTCATGCTGGTTAACTAAAACCGGGATAGTCGAGTAAGCGAGTTCACTCCCTGGGCCATGGCAAGATCTGTTCAGCGCGGGCTATTCCAACCTGACAGCTGTTTCGCCTTCATAAGGCTCATCAGAGAAGGTGATATTGAATAGGATGATATCAGGTGGAGATGGTCAGATTTATACTACAAGATTACGGGCAAAGTGTGAGAATGAGAAGTTACAATTCTCCACATTCCACATGTTCTTTACATTTTATTGGCCGAATAGTACCGTTCACCATTAATTACTTCGCAGTACTATTGTGCTAGCGACTGTTTTATACGGATGCCAATCTTGGACATTATCTGCCTCATCAATGAGAAGAATTTCATCCTTCGAGATGAAATGCTTCCGCCGACTCTTAGGAGTAACATACCACGACCGACGTACCAACCAATCTATCCTGGAAGAAATCAATGACATCATCGGAGCAAGGATGCGGCTAGCGAACAAAGTCAAGAAATTTAGGTTGATGTGGTTTGGCCATGTTTCGAGACATGACGTTTTCTCCAAGCCCTTCCTGCAAGGATCAACTACTGGATCTCGACCGAGAGGAAGGCCCGCGACATCATGGATTTCTAACGTTAAAAGTGGGACGGGTCTTCCCTTGCATGCTCTCTCTCATGCAGCACACGATAGATTTGGATTCAGAGACATCATTCCCAATTCTCTCGCTGATTAATGCCTCTACGATCACCTTGTGATTAAGAGTTATACATACATACATACATGCATACATACATACATACATACAGTACACACAGTACACACGACCTCCTCAGCAGCAAACACATGTTGGTGACCAGCAAGTTGGTCCGCCAGGGCTTGACCGAGCGGGCTTGCAAACTGCGGAACTGACTACTATCCACTGGTTCTTACATAGCAAGAAGAACAGCGTGGCAAGGGAATAGGGGTTGTGCAAAATTTCAAAAGAGACCATGGTGGACAGCCTGTGGATTCGCGCTACGTATACAGCATGAATGAGATGAGCTTTTACACTGCACACAAAGCGGTTCAGCTGATGGTGTAAGCAAATAGCCTCTATACTGAGGCCAAGCACAGCTGAAGGAAAGTTGTCTGCGGTGGACAGAAGTGCAAGAATGCAGATCTAAAGACTTCGGCAGGTCCTTGATTCGCAGTCTGTTTATCCTATGTCTTTGCCATTTTGTTGAAACAGCTCAGCTTTTGGCTACCCGCACACTAAAATCCCACAGCTCTATCGCTTTCTGACTTCTACTAGCCTACTTTGAAGTACTAGAAACAAATGAACACCTATATGTAGATTGAAAGGTGAAGACATCTACCCGTATTAGGAATGTAACAAACATTCGAATACCGTATTTCCTGAATGTAAGTTGCACCTTTTTACACTGAACTTCAAGGGCAAAGAAGACTTACAATGGAGTGTGACTTTTTACTTATGTGAATGTATCGAAACAATTTGGCTCAGACCTGAAAATGGGTTGCGACTTATAATAGAGGAAATACAGTATTCAATTATTCGAATTAATTCAATCTAAAAAGTGCTCCCAACATTACTTGAATACAAAATTCAAATTTGAAGGTTTGAAGATCACTATATCTGTGGCATGATCGTGCTAAGATATACTCAAACGGCAAACATGACACTTCAAAGTACATGTTAGGGTTATATCACTAGACAAGGACGGAATGGCGCGGCATTGTTGCCACAGCAACCCAAATGGGTTAACGAATCGATGAGGATGACATCACTAATAATTAATTGAAACAGCATTGACAGTCATGGCCAGTGCAACTCCAGCTTACCTGGGAGATGGTACCCTCTCCAGCAGCATGGCGACCTCACAGTGCGGTGTGTGCGGAAACATGTTCACAGTGACTGCGTTGAGTGGCCTGAAGCCCATTGTATTGATTGCCCTGTTGGAATGTTTGCATAGGCTGTGTACATGGACAAACATTGTATTGATTGCCCTGTTGGGATGTTTGCATAGGCTGTGTACATGGACAAACATTGTATTGATTGCCCTGTTGGGATGTTTGCATAGGCTGTGTACATGGACAAACATTGTGTTGATTGCCCTGTTGGGATGTTTGCATAGGCTGTGTACATGGACAAACATTGTATTGATTGCCCTGTTGGGATGTTTGCATAGGCTGTGTACATGGACAAACATTGTGTTGATTGCCCTGTTGGGATTTTGCATAGGCTGTGTACATGGACAAACATTGTATTGATTGCCCTGTTGGGATGTTTGCATAGGCTGTGTACATGGACAAACATTGTATTGATTGACCTGTTGGGATGTTTGCATAGGCTGTGTACATGGACAAGCATTGTATTGATTGCCCTGTTGGGATGTTTGCATAGGCTGTGTATATGGACAAACATTGTATTGATTGCCCTGTTGGGATGTTTGTATAGGCTGTGTACATTGACAAACATTGTATTGATTGCCCTGTTGGGATGTTTGCATAGGCTGTGTACATGGACAAACATTGTATTGATTGCCCTGTTGGGATGTTTGCATAGGCTGTGTATATGGACATACATTGTATTGATTGCCCTGTTGGGATGTTTGCATAGGCTGTGCACATGGACAAACATTGTATTGATTGCCCTGTTGGGATGTTTGCATAGGCTGTGTACATGGACAAACATTGTATTGATAGCCCTGTTGGGATGTTTGCATAGGCTGTGTACATGGACAAACATTGTATTGATTGCCCTGTTGGGATGTTTGCATAGGCTGTGTACATGGACAAACATTGTATTGATTGCCCTGTTGGGATGTTTGCATAGGCTGTGTACATGGACAAACATTGTATTGATTGCCCTGTTGGGATGTTTGCATAGGCTGTGTACATGGACAAACATTGTGTTGATTGCCCTGTTGGGATGTTTGCATAGGCTGTGTACATGGACAAACATTGTATTGATTGCCCTGTTGGGATGTTTGCATAGGCTGTGTACATGGACAAACATTGTGTTGATTGCCCTGTTGGGATTTTGCATAGGCTGTGTACATGGACAAACATTGTATTGATTGCCCTGTTGGGATGTTTGCATAGGCTGTGTACATGGACAAACATTGTATTGATTGACCTGTTGGGATGTTTGCATAGGCTGTGTACATGGACAAGCATTGTATTGATTGCCCTGTTGGGATGTTTGCATAGG